GCGCCGCCTCGGCCTCCAGCCCCGCACCCAGGTCAGTCACAGAGTTTTGACTAAATAGGTTGTTAGTACGACAGGCAAGAAGCCCCTGAGACAGAAGAGCTCTCTAAATCCCCGAAGACGGGCTGCCACACCACCGAAGGATTGTAAAGTGCGTAAGTCTTCTCCGTCCCCGTTTGCCAAACCCTCAGGGCCCTCCCTGCGTGCGCGGGTCTGGTCGCCCGGCCTCCGCAAGCCAGGAAGGCGCGCGGGTCCCCCCGCCCAGAGGCCGCTGCTGCCCGGGTGTCTCCCTGACCCTCGGCGTCGTCTTCCGAGGCTGGCCCTCATTGTCCCCGGATGATTACTGTTGTCACAGACCAGGTGGGGCACAGGACTGAAGAGATCCTTTCAGTCAGGACCCGCCCTCCCCCAGCACCAGGCTTAGCCCAGCAGCGCCCTCCTTGGGCTAAGCTCCCAGGGTGCCAGCCCCTCCCTGCAAGGCACCCCCCACCCTGGCAGCTCCATGTCACTGCTGGTTCTCTCATTCACCCTCATGGACCAAAACCACTGTCTCCTCTCCCTCTCAGGCTAGCCAGTTTCCCCTTCCCAACTCTTGAAGGGCAGGGACAGTTGACCCCACTGCCTGGAAAATAGAGCTCTGGGCTCGATCCTGCAGGCAGCCACCCTCGGGAGGCAGACTTATCCAGACAGCCTGGCCCCTCTCGCTCTAAAGCTGGAAGGAAAGTTATTTTATCTGCAAAGGCATAAACTGCAGATAAGCTGCTGACGCAGGAACTGATTTTAACTTTCACGCCTCCCCCTCGGCCACTTTTCTCCATTATCACTCCTCATTCTCACTCCCTCCCCCCAATAACTGTCATGTTTCTAAAGTTTCTCAGCGTGTGTGTATACACATGTGTATGTGGTTATTAAAGTGACAGTTTCTTTCAAACTAAACAAATATATAAATGAATAAGAATATTATAGCATAGGCTTCAATTTGCCCACAATGGATACAACTCAGTGATTACGCATTTTTTTTAAATTGTTGCCACCTGTGAGAGTGTTAGTCATTCATCTGCATCTGTCTCCAGTGTGCGAGTATTTCTGTTGTGTGATGAGAATTCAGGGCTCTGCATTTTGACTCTCTAGCTGCATTCCTTTGGCTGCTATTCTGCTATAAAGTGCCTGTGACTCTTTCCTTAGCTTTCCTGGGTTAAATTCTAGATACAGAGATTTCCACAGGGTACTTTGCTTGGTCTTGCTAACAGAAACATGTTGATCGTTAAAGTAGATGACATCTGCTCATGACTCATCTCAGTTGTCGGTTGACTGTTCTGGATTGATTCTCAGAGGATGAGTTTGTCCACTTTATCTGCAAAGTCTTGGGGTGACTTACTGTGAATCCTTGCCATGGACTGAATCAGGGATTAGGTATTTGCTGGCCAGCATCATTACCATTGGCAGTGATTAGCAAGGCCTTTCCTTTGAACTGTAAAATTTCTACCTGGCAGAAACCCTTAATAGTAGCAATCACTTTGCTTTGAGACTTGGTTTCAGTCCTAAACACACCAACGAAATTTCAAGATGAAAGATCCTTGCCAGTGGCTGAGTTTCTTAGGTTCTTTTCCATGGGAAGATTGACATTTTTCTTTCTTCTTGGGTTGGGTCATTTATTAGCGTCGTTTTCATCTGGAGTCACAACCCAATATAAAGTATATCATTAATGTAACCCATTTTCTTTGCGACGACTAAAGCCTTTTGCATGGTGACTATGGTCTGGAAAGATGAGTATGATCTTGAAAGGACTTACTGAGGAGCCTGCCTCAGACCTCGTGTTAC